TTGGGATAAGAGGGGGAAGGCTTCTAAATCACAGCAAATGGTCACAGACAAGTACAAGTTGCTGGACTTCTTTATTTTCAAATTAATTGTTCCTAAAAGCTGGGCTCTTGGCATCAAAGGCCTATTGCCATGATGGGTGGACTAAAGAACAAACACCCTGCTGCCACGCTTATCTGTCAACACTGAAGAATTACACCTAGGTTTATATAACCCACTGAGATGATGATATCTCTTGGCTGAAATCCCCATGTTAGGAGTTTTCATTTCAGAACCCTGGTTTTTGTTTGTCTTTCACATAAATAAATCCAAGCTGTGATGTCACTACTGCCAACCTAGTCACTCTCTCCCCAGTTTTAATAAGAAGGGGTGGGTACAGGTGTGTGTCAATTACTCCTATCAAGATGTACAATGAATATAGGAGATATATAGAAATAAGACTGCTCAAACTTCCGTACAGTGGCCCTTATTTCTCATGCCAGTAAGGTAATGCTCAAGCTCCTGCAAGGAAGACTCCAGCAATACATGGAGCGAGAGTTGCCAGATGTTCAAGCTGGGTTTAGAAAAGGTAGAGGAACGAGAGACCAAATTGCCAATATCCGCTGGATAATGGAGAAAGGCAGGGAGTTTCAGAAAAACATCTACTTCTGCTTCATTGACTATTCTAAAGCCTTTGACTGTGTGGATCATAATAAATTGTGGCAAGTTCTTAGTGGGATGGGCATACCAAGCCACCTTGTCTCTCTCCTGAGGAATCTGTACAAGGACCAAGTAGCAACAGTCAGAACTGACCACGGAACAACAGACTGGTTCAAGATTGGGAAAGGCGTACGGCAAGGCTGCATCCTCTCACCCAACCTTTTTAACGTGTATGCAGAACACATCATGCGATGTGCGGGGCTGGATGAATGCAAAGCTGGGGTGAAAATTGCTGGAAGAAACATTAACAACCTCAGATATGCAGATGACACCACTCTGATGGCCGAAAGCGAGGAGGAGCTGAGGAGCCTTCTAATCAAGGTGAAAGAAGAAAGCGCAAAACAGGGTTGCAGCTAAACGTCAAAAAAACCAAGATTATGGCAACAAGAATGATTGACAACTGGAAAATAGAGGGAGAAACCGTGGAGGCCGTGACAGACTTTGTATTTCTAGGTGCAAAGATTACTGCAGATGCAGACTGTGGCCAGGAAATCAGAAGACGCTTACTTCTTGGGAGGAGAGCAATGTCCAATCTCGATAAAATAGTAAAGAGTAGAGACATCAGACTGGCAACAAAGATCCGCCTAGTCAAAGCCATGGTATTCCCTGTAGTCACCTACGGATGTGAGAGCTGGACCTTAGGGAAGGCTGAGCGAAGGAAGATCGATGCTTTTGAGCTGTGGTGTTGGAGGAAAGTTCTGAGAGTGCCTTGGACTGCGAGAAGATCCAACCAGTCCAGCCTCCAGGAAATAAAGCCCGACTGCTCACTGGAGGGAAAGATACTAGAGACAAAGTTGAAGTACTTTGGCCACATCATGAGGAGACAGGAAAGCCTAGAGAAGACAATTATGCTGGGGAAAGTGGAAGGCAAAAGGAAGAAGGGCCGACCAAGGGCAAGATGGATGGATGGCATCCTTGAAGTGACTGGACTGACCTTGAGGGAGCTGGGGGTGGTAACGGCCGACAGGGAGCTCTGGCGTGGGCTGGTCCATGAGGTCACGAAGAGTCGGAGACGACTGAACGAATGAACAACAACATAGAAATATAGCCGGCTGTGTCCCTGATCTCTATTTGTTGTTGTCCACTACCTTCAAGTTGACTTTAATTTATAGTGACCCTATAAATGAGAGACTTCCATGTCTCCCCATTGTCCCACAGCTCTGCTCAGGTCCTTCAGACACAGCGTTGTGGCTTCCTTGACTGACTATCCATATGGAATATGACTGAACCTAGGTATGGAAAAAATGAGCTATTTCAACATATTCATATATGATCTCCATATGTGAATGCATATGCAGGTACTTCCTCTATACACATTCTAATGAATTAAAATGGAAAGAAGACTTTTTGGGGGTGTCTAACAATATGTTCTATCAAGTTCATTATCATAAAATTTGGTTTGGTCAAATGATTCATATTCTCTAGCTCACCAGTCCCATATCAATACGTCTCTCATTATTTTTAGAATAAAATAGGAATAATTCTTCAACTATCAGGGGACCAGCCATTTCTCACCCCCTCCCCCCAATGTAACAGGAAGCAGTACTATTTTTTCCCATTGGCTATAATTGTGTCTTGGAAACCACACAACATCCCAGTTGTGTCTCTCTTCCTGGAAACTCTCCAAGGACTTGCAGCTGAATGCTCAGGAAACATCAGTATTGTTATATACATCCCTCAAAACCCAACAAATATCTTGAACTTTAGCATGAGCACACTGGACTCAATGTCTCTCTTAATGAATTATGAAAACTGTAATCCAAAAAAGTCACTTTTTGGAGCCTTGCCCTTGATCAATGTCAAAGAATTTCCAGTCAACCCTTAGTCTAGATGTATCTATTTTTTAAAAAATCTGAAATAATGACCACAGAGGCTCAATGGGGTCCATCCTTGTGCCACTGAACTGCTGACCTAAAGGTTGGCAGTTCAAATCTGTGAGATGGGGTGAGCTCCTGCCTGTCAGCCTTAACTCCTGCTGTTCCGTCTCCCAGGAGCCTGATTTGCCTCACTTTAAAGTTGCTTAAGGTTGCTTCCTCTTGCATTTTCTCCCAGGGCTGCTGCATCTTTGCAAGAGTCTTAAAAGTTAATAATATCAGAGCCTGCAGGCCTCTTTGCAACTATTGGCTTAGAGAGCAGCTCTTTGAGTTTAGGGACCGCCTTTTCTCCCAGGGAAAGATCCCAATTTTAGATTCTCCCCTGCCTTTTCAGTTTGAGAAAAGATTTCAGAYGTGCTGATGGCTAAGCAGTTAGCTCTGGGAGAACCATTGCAAAAACTATAAACTGAGTAATTGCTGTAAACCGCAATGAGTCGCCGATTTAGGCTGAGATATTAGCGGTATACAAGTGTATTAAATAAATAAATAAATAAAATAAATAAGATATATTAAGCTATAGATAGTATATTATACACTATAGATAAGTATTAAGCTAAAGTGAGTAAGCTGTATTGAGTTAATATAGATAGTATATTGTGTATTGAGCTGTATTGAGATATTTTAGATAGATAAGCTTAGTTGAGAAGATTGAGTTATAGTTATAGAGAGAGAGTCGTGAYTGCTTTGTCTCCAGAACTGACCTTAAGTTACAGATAGGGAAAAAGCCTGCCTTTTTCTAAACCACAACAGCTTAAGGTTAGGGTATTAAGATTTCAGGATCTCATCTGCCATCTGGAGAAAGGGTTGCCTCTGTAACTATAGGAAAGAAAGAATATTTTTGTAGCTTCATCTATTTACTGTTTGTTTGCAACTGTATGAACTGTGCCAAGTCTTCAAGGACTTTGTGTAAATAAATATTCGTTTTTGATGTTTAAAACCAGTACTAGTCTCAATTGCTTAGTATCTTAAGTTTTCAAGATAGACAACTGCACTTCACTCAGCTATAGAAAGAAGCACGTCGCAGTCTTATTTTTTATAGCATCTGGGCGGACGACACACCTGCCAACCTAGTAGTTTGAAAACATGCAAATGTGAATAGATAAATAGGTACTACTTTGGTGGGAAAAGGAAAGAGACACTCCAAGCAATTTTGCCAGCCACATGACCAGAAAGTGACAATGTAGGCTCCTCAGCTTGAAAATGGAGAAAAGCATCTCCCAGAACCAGAGGTGAGCACTGCCTCCAGAAGCAAGAAATGAAAGGAGAAGCCTTTGCCTTTGTTTGTGTTTGTGTGTCTCATTGTTTAGGATTGTAAAGGCACTGAATGTGTGCCTATGTATGCAAATGCCATGATCCGCTCCGAGTCCTCTAGGGGAGAAAGGAGGAATATAAATAAAGTGTATTATTATTATTATTAAATATGCATTTGCCTCGATTCTAGGGACACTGGCCCCAAGAAGTCAAGACTCAGTTCTTTTGCATGATTTCCCTAGAGAACTGAAGATCTAATAGTAACAAATTCCAATAATCCATCCTTAATTCTAGTATTAGGGATGGAAAGATTAAAAGTACCAAAAGGCCACTATATTTAAAATGATTGAGCGAAGAGGATTAATAGGAATATTGCAAAAAAATCATGTGAAGAGGAAATCTAGAAATCTTAGCAAGAACATGCCTGAACAACTGCACAACCACTTTGTTTCTACAGATCTTGGTTTATATCCATTGCATCTGCTAGATGGCAGTGTGAGCCACTTGGGAAAATATGGATTTCACTTCAACCTGGTATATAAATGCCGGCAGTAAAACAGCCAGGGATGGCATATGCTCCCGCTTAGGAGCACTGCCTTTTTCCTCCGGTGTCTACTGTATTCGTCCCTGGTATGGAACAGACGGTGATGAAGTATCTCTTTCCACTGCCAACTTTCTTGGATTTCTTATGTCTGGGGCATAATAATCTCTAGAATCTATAGAAGCCAGCAACTAAATCTGTGTCATAAACTAAAACATATGCTAATATGCTGAAAAAAATGTGGGCTTCCAAGACTCTAGGGAACGATATATTTTGAAATTTTGAAAAAAGCTTGCAGGATGGAGGACTAAACTCAAGACTATCAGAAGTGACAAGACTTTTGACTTTTTTTGGACGATAGCTACCATATGTTTCTCCTTCTGTAATCACACTTCTCCCCATTTTAACTAACAATCAAAGACCTGTTTGAAACAATTTTGCTTTCCTCCATTGATGAGGTATTCCAACTAAGAGGCAAAACAGTGCATGACATAGTTATCTGATACTGAGTTTGAACAAGCGTCTAAGTTGATCCTGTCTATATGCATATTGGAGTTAAAGGACAAATTAAGAAAAGCAATATTCAACCGATCAAAAGTTGGTAAATACAATATTTGCTTCTTAGTTTGTTTACTTACCGGTGCAATATCATATGCAAAAAGTCCATACTGTCTGTCAGGTGAAACTTCGTAGCGAATAGCCTTTATGGACACCTAGAAACCAATAACCAAAATAAACATTTTTAATAGATGTGTGCAGCCCCCCTGGTGGCAATGTAGGTTAAACTGCTTAGCTGCTGAACTTGCTGACCAAAAGGTAAGCGGTTCTAATCTGGGGAGTGGAGTGAGCTCCCACTGTTAGCCCCAGCTTCTGCCAACTTAGAGGTTCAAAAACCAACAAATGGGAGTTGATCAATAGGTACCGCTTTGGTGGGAAGTTAATGGCACTCCATGCAGTCATGCTGGCCAAATGATCTTGGTGGTGTCTATGGACAACACTGGCTCTTTGGCTTTGAAATGGAGATGAGCACCACCCCCCAGAGTCGGAATCGACTAGACCTAATGTCAAGGGGAAACCTTTTCCTTAATAGGTGTGTGCAACTTTGAAATTCAAATATTAAAAAACATGCTCCTGAGGCATTTTCATCTATTTTTTTATTAGATGCACGAGACAGACTTGCCCTACCACTAGAAACATAGAAGGGACTTTAAAGTCTATCTAGTCCAATTAGCAAAGAGCCATAGCAATTAAAGCCGTGTCAAATTGCATTAATTCTACAAAGTAGATATACCCATGTCTCCTGCTTTTCTAGCTGCAAGGTTATTTACACACCACTTTAAAGCAGAGCTTGGGAAACTTCCTATTTTTAAACACTACAAGTCCCAAAATCCCATAGCTTTCCATTTATCCAGTTCTGTGCAAGAACTGAGTGCATCTACACTTTAGAAATAATGCCGTTTGATTACAATTTAACTGCCATGGCTCAAGACTATAGAATCATGGGAGTTGTAGTTTTACACGGACTTTTGCCTTCTCTGCCAAAATGTGCACCAAACTACATCTCTCAGGATTCCATTGCATTGAGCCAGAGTAGTTAAGGTGCTGTCAAAATTGATTAAATATACAATATTGAGGCACCATAAGTAAAAGAGCCAAGACACTTGTGAAACTAAACTTCCCATTAAAAATACTTACAATGATTTTGTTCTCTATTAACACCGTTGAGTCGTTGGTTTCAACGTTGTGTACTATCACCGAACCATTTCTGTTTCTGTAAATGAATTCTGCATCTGAAAGAGAAACAAAGAATAAAATAACAATGTAATATCTTAAAAGAATATGAACCCATATAGAAAATTTGGTGAATGGTACACTTTGGCATCTGGACTTCCATGTCAGTGGATCAGTAAATACACTTTGGGTTTTAGTCTGAACTTTAAAAGGCATTGAACACCATCTTCAAAATAGGTTCAGCTCCTTGTCTATCTCCTTTAGAGCTTGGACTAAAATTCAGAGTGAATATCAACAATAATTAACCTGTTGCGGGATAGCGGATAAGTGCAATAAAGTCCTTGGAAAAAGATTTAGTCGTTAATCATGTCCTTCCTTCCTTCCATTGTGGATTATCTCTTTCCATTTATACTATGCTTAACGATAGCCCCAGAAGCTATATGCAATGTGTTAAACCCATTTATAGTATAAATACATGAATAAAATGTTTCCAACAGATTAAAACCACCCCTTAAATTAATTCAAAATAGTAGACCATTAGAACATCAAGAATAGTCACCTTTAATTCGAGAGACCAAAGGCCAAGCAAAGTAATATAGTTTTAGCTGCCTGACAAGAGTTCAGATATTGTCCCTTTGACCTTACTTATTTTATTAATAAAATACAAGTGTGCAATGTGATAAATGGAAGTTAAATCCATTTTATTCACTGACATTAAGCAGCAAATCCCCAGAAAGCCGACAAAGAAATGTATAAATATATATTTTTAAGTTAATTACATCTGTGGACATTGGGTTTTATTAGGAAACCATCAGCCACAGTGCCCTGAATCAAAAACTACCAAGTGGAAATATTTCACATAAATATATTCTGAGTCCAGTTTTGCCTAGCGAGGATTCAAATCTGAGTCTAGCTATGTTTAAATTAAAAATTAAACTAGTAAGTTAAAATTGGGTCACCTTCATTTTAAAGATTCATTTGACAAATATTCAATTTAATAATAACATCTCTGGAGTCATATTCAATTTTCCTTTTTCTAAAGGCTTCATATAATATTCAAGAAGTTAATATTAAAAATGTCTTCTAGTGGACCAAGGAAAACCTTCACTCACCTAATTATATGATTCATATATGATAAGAACCACAGTATAATATGGATGGGTTCCTTAGTAAACAGGTTAAACACCAATGATCCACTTATAAAGATAACATAATGAATAAGTCCAACAGATAGGTAAATTGTGAAACAAGGACTGTTCAATTCACAGTAGTCACAAAATTAAGCAATATGCAATGAGTTCTGTATAGTCCTTTAGTGATGTCGTTGTATGTTCATGAATCAGCCTCCCACGACCGGTTTCGGCCTTTGCTTTAGGCCTTCTTCGGGTGGTCTGTAATTTTACATACATAAATACATTTAACAATTGTATAGGTTGAACATAATGAAATAAAATGCATTTAGAAATACTTACAAAGTTCAGTCTTTTACATATGTTCTCATAAGAGATACTTAAATATTTTTTGCAATGGGATCTAGGTAAAAGGAACAAATTGTGGCTATTAACATTTAAACGTTACATATATCAAAATAAATGTATTACCAATATATTTCACCAAATAGGTGTATACTTACAAGATACTCTGCTTCTAAGTTTGATTCTAATTGTGAGTATGAACAAGATCTAGGGATTACCTCTATTTAAAGAGGAGAATGCACATCAGATGTAGAGGAGACAGAGAATTAAAGGCTCATTTAAAGTTATAGGTGTAGAGAAAGTCACCACTAGATGGCATTATGAGTAATGTAATCCCCAGGGATGTGTAGTATACAAGGGATAATACAAAAAATCTCAAGGTTATATATAGCAACTGTATGAATTGTATTCATTAAGACCATGTGGATGTTCCGTCCGTAATCTGAAGATCCAATATGTTTCCCTTTGTAGGAGTTTAATGTTAAAGTCCATGTATTTGGATTGTGTAACTACTTCTAATATATGGTATTTGAAGGATTCAGGATTATGCCGTAGATCATCAAAATGTTTATACAGTATGGAGTCTCTGGAATTAGTTCTAATTTTACTCCGGTGTTCTATAATCCTAGATTTCACTTCTCGACGAGTTTGACCAAAGTACATCAGATTGCATTCACAAATAATCATGTAGATAACTCCTTTAGTGGTACATGTAGCAAAATGGGAGAATTTAATATTCAATGGTGGGTGTTGGTGTGTAAAATTTTTTGTTTCCACCAATTGGTTACACACTGAGCAATGGTGGCACCGATAATTGCCAATCAGATTAGATTTCATAGTGCGAACATTATGTGTTAAATCTGAATGTACCAGAAAATCCCCGATGCTCTTGGTTCTTTTATATGCTATTAATGGGGGTCTTTCACAGCCCGGGATGTCTCTTATTAGGTTCCAATATTTTTTTATTGTTCTGATGGCTAAACTGGACATATTAGTGAGAGTAAGTGGCCATATTAATCTTTCCACTCTAGGTCTAGTCTTGTTCTCTAGAAGTTTAGACCTGGGAATATTGGCTACTTTTAGATAAGATGATTGTATTATATGTTCAGGATATCCCCGGTTTCTAAACTGTCGTTTTGTTACCTCAATCTCCTGGGTGAAATCATGTTGGGTCGAGGAGTTACGTTTAATCCTGAGCATCTGTGAAAACGGTAGGTTTTCTTTTATAATCATGACATCCAGGAAAACCAAGGATGTGGCACTGATGTTACCTGTAAATTTGATATTGTGGTGTATTGTATTGATCCAGGATAATAATGTTTCTGCCTCATGATGTGAGTTTATAATGATGAAGATATCATCAATAAATCTGCAATATTTGATTATGCTATCCGCTACAGGGTTATATGTACGATTCAGAATTATATTGTTTTCCAAATTATCCATAAATAAATTTGCTATTGAAGGTGCAACAGGACTACCCATGGCCACTCCTTGTATTTGAAAATAGTATTTTTGGTCAAATTTAAAGAATTTTTTTTCCAGAATGATATCGAGGAGGTCCAATAAAAAGAAAGTGGGAGGGTGACAGTCTGATCTCCTGTTCAGAATAGACTCACATACTGTCCTGGATGTCATGATTATAAAAGAAAACGATCGATTGAGGGTGAGAAACCACCGTAAAACTACGGATAGAAACTCTCTGTTACACTACAACAGTTACCATCATTGGGCATTAAAAAATAACCTACCGTTTTCACAGATGATCAGGATTAAACGTAACTCCTCGAATCAAACTTAGAAGCAGAGTATCTTGTAAATATACACCTATTTGGTGAAATATATTGGTAATACATTTATTTTGATATATGTAACGTTTAAATGTTAATAGCCACAATTTGTTCCTTTTACCTAGATCCCATTGCAAAAAATATTTAAGTATCTCTTATGAGAACATATGTAAAAGACTGAACTTTGTACGTATTTCTAAATGCATTTTATTTCATTATGTTCAACCTATACAATTGTTAAATGTATTTATGTATGTAAAATTACAGACCACCCGAAGAAGGCCTAAAGCAAAGGCCGAAACCGGTCGTGGGAGGCTGTTTCATGAACATACAACGACATCACTAAAGGACTATACAGAACTCATTGCATATTGCTTAATTTTGTGACTACTGTGAATTGAACAGTCCTTGTTTCACAATTTACCTATCTGTTGGACTTATTCATTATGTTAAGAACCACAGTATGCCATTTTTTTCTAACCATGATAGTGGTTAGATTGACCAAAACTGGAGAAACTGAATAAAATATCCTCCAAGCCATGATGCCAGATGGATGTGTGTGGACCACAATCTACAAAATTTTAGACATCAAAACTGGAACATATGAGGTAGGGTTGTGCATGGAACCGTTTTCCTTCGTTCCATCTGTTCTTTCGTTACCTTTGGGAGCACGTAATAGGAAGGCCCCTCCCAGTATGAAAATTGACACGATAGCAAACAGGAGCCGATCCAGGTTCCTCACCTGCTTTTCATGAGCAGCCACGTTTCCTTGTAAAGAGTGTGTGTGGCATGCAAGCCCAGAAAGTGTGGGCACCTGTCTGCAGACAAGTGGCTCCTTTGGACTAAACTTGCCTCCTTGCCTTGGAAACTGTGATGTGCAGACCCAGAAAGCATGCCTGCCTGCAAACAAGCAGCTCCTATGGACTAAACTTGCCTCCTTGATTTGGAAATTGTGTGTGGCATGTAGACCCAGAAAGCAAGCATACCTGCCTGAAGCTGAGCAGGTCCTCTGGAGTAAACTTGCCTCCTTGCCTTGGAAGGTGCATGTGGCATGCAGGCCCAGAAAGCCTGCATGTCTGCCTGCAGACAAGTAGCTCCTATGGACTAAATTTGCCTCCTTGGCTTGGAAATTGTGTGTGGCATGCAGGCTCAGGAAGCGTGTGTGCCTGCCTGCAGCCAAGTGCTTCCTCTGGAGTAACTTGCCTCCTTGCCTTGGAAAGTGCATGTGGTGTGCTGGCCCAGAAAGTGTGCCTGCCTGCCTGCAGCTGAGTGCCTCTTCTGGAGTAACTTGCCTCCTTGACTTGGAAATTGTGTGTGGCATGCAGGCCCAGAAAGCAAGCATGTCTGCCTACAGCCGGGCACCTCCTTTGCAGTAAACTTGCCTCCTTGCTTTGGAAGGTGCATGTGGCATGCAGGCTCAGAAAGCATGCATGCCTGCCTGCAGACAAGCAGCTCCTATGGACTACACTTGCCTCCTTGACTTGGAACTTGTGTGTGGCATGCAGGCCGAGAAAGCAAGCATGCTTGGCTGCAGACAAGTGGCTCCTATGGACTAAACTGACCTCCTTGACTTGGAAATTGTGTGTGGCATGCAGGCCCAGAAAGTAAGCATGCCTGCCTACAGCCGAGCACCTCCTTTGCAGTAAACTTGCCTCTTTGCCTTGGAAACTGTGTGTGGCATGCAGGCCCAGAAAGCAAGCATGCCTGCCTGCAGCCAAACAACTCCTCTGGAGTAAACTTGCCTCCTTGCCTTGGAAAGTGCAAGTGGCGTGCAGGCCCAGAAAGAGTGCAACT